TTAATGTTCAGAGTTCAGCTCAAATGTCAGGTCACTGATCCCCAGACTAAATCACTTCTCCAGTTATCCTTTCGTAGCTCTTAAGTCATCCATGATCATATAATCAGCTCTACAGCCATCTATTTGAAGCTCTCCTGTCACCTGACTGCCCTGAGGGCTGCTGTGACAGTCTGTTCCCTGTCGTCACCTAGCCCTGCTAGCCCTGCTGCTCACGTTCAAAACTCCTGGGGTAGGTGTTGAACTACAAAGACCTCTTTATCACAGGATAGTTTAATCAAAGGCAGCCGCAGGGAACTCACAGCCCTAAAATGTCCCGAGGAGCGTGAGACACTTTGTCCCAGACAAGGAGGCCCTGGCTGGTGTTACTTTGCCCAGGGCCTGAGGCTGCCGCCTTATCTCAGGAGAACCAGCAAAGCTGCCTCCGGGGAACTTGTGACTCAGAGGAAGGGAGCCGGGAGAGGCCTTTGTGGGAGAAAAAAGGGCTGTGTCTTGATAAAGGATAAAGTACAACCAAAAATATAAAAATCTTATTTTGGACAGAATGTAGATGCCTTTAAGAGTGCCTAATTAAAACAAGAAGGCGATCAAATCGGGAAGGAAAAATTACTCTTCGAAAGGACAACTCGGGGAAATTCCCTGGTGGTCCAGTGGTTAGGGCTGACTCCATGCTTCCACCGCAGGGGGCGTGGGTTCGATCCCTGGTCAGGGGAACTGAGATCCCACAAGCCGCTGTACGGTGGGGCCAAAAACACCAGACAGCTCCATTCAGCTCACAGCCTTGGTTTGGTTAATCCACTTGTTCCTTTCCCTGCAAAGAATAGGTACTGGTACATCACTTTGCCTCAGTGTGTTTTCAAAAAAATGGTGAGTCAAATAATATCTTAAGTACTTTATTTAAAATATGCACAGTTATATCAAGAATGGGGCAGATTTTTGGGCTTCCCTGGTGGCGCAGTGGTTGAGAGTCCGCCTGCCGATGCAGGGGACACGGGTTCGTGCCCCGGTCCGGGAGAATCCCACATGCCGTGGAGCGGCTGGGCCCGTGAGCCATGGCCGCTGAGCCTGCGCATCCGGAGCCTGTGCTCCGCAATGGGAGAGGCCACAACAGTGAGAGGCCCGCATACCGCAAAAAAAAAAAAAAAAAAGCAGATTTTTGTGAATCCTTGTGGGTAGCAAATAAGCGTGCCCAGTTTATTACCGATGGGAAGATTGGTGGTCCTCAAGATTCTTCTCAGTGTACACACCTTCCCCAGGGGGATTGCAGCCAATTCCATGGCTTCAACCACCACCTCTACTGAATGTATTTTTATGACTTGCAGCTGCCTCCTGGCCGTATTCCTTGTCCCTGAGCACAAAGAATGTAGCGCCAACCCTGCTGCCCCTCCTCTTCTCATGAATGGCCTCACCACCCACCCCACTCACCCCCAGCTAGCAGCCTGAGGGGCATCCTGACTCCTGTGTAAGAGGCTGCACTTAGGCCCCTAAGTGGACAGGAAGGGCAGACTCCTAGGTCGTGCATGCAGCAGGCCAGAGGGCCCTAGGACTGGCCCAGCAAGCAATTTAAGCTTTAGACCTGCCGGTTGGCAGAAGTGTTGCCTCCTTTGAGTCTCAGCTGTGCCCGCGTGGCTCAGGTGAGTGTTCCATGTGTCCCTCTAACTCGGGTGGGGCAACGAGGACACTGAACTTTAGGAGACTTGGAGACAGATGTATGGGGCCACAACAGTGAGAGGCCCACATACCGCAAAAAAACCCAAAAAACCAAAAAACCAAAAAACAAGCTAGATGGAGTCTGTATCTCAGCCTTCCCTAGCCGCATCCTTGGGCCAGACCCTGCTTTCCAGCACAGTTCTTTCCCTCCCTGATGTGAATATGTTTTGTTTTCTTTGTTTTTGCATTTTACTTTTTTTAATTTAATTTTTATTTCATATTGGGGTATAGTTGATTTACAATGTTGTGTTAGTTGCAGGTGTACAGCAAAGTGTTAGTTATACATATACATATATCCATTCTTTTTCAGATTCTTTTCCTGTATAGGTTATTACAGAATATTGAGTAGAGTTCCCTGTGCTATACAGTAGGTCCTTGTTGATATCTATTTTATATATAGTACTGTGTATATGTTAATCCCAAACTCCTAACTTATCCCTCCTCCCCACCTTTCCCCTTCGGTAACCATAAGTTTGTTTCTGAAGTCTGTGAGTCTATTTCTGTTTTGTAAATAAGTTCATTGGTATCATCTTTTTAGAGTCCATGTATAAGTGATATATAATACTTGTCCTTCTCTGTCTGACTTAATTCATTAGTAAGATAATCTCTAGGTCCATCCATGTTGCTGTAGATGGCATTATTTCATTCTTTTTTATGGCTTAGTAATATTCCATTGTTTTTAGGTACCACATCTTCTTTATCCATTCCTCTCTTGATGGACTTTTAGGTTGCTTCCATGTCCTGGCTATTGTAAATAGTGCTTCAATGAACATTGGGGTGCGTGCATCTTTTTGAATTATGGTTTTCTCAGGGTACATGCCCAGGAGTGGGATTGCTGGGTCGTATGGTAGTTCTATTTTTAGTTTTTTAAGGAACCTCCATACTGTTTTCCATAGTGGTTGTACCAATTTACATTCCCGCCAACAGTGTAGGAGGGTTCCCTTTTCTCCACCCCTTCTCCAGCAGTTATTGTTTGTAGACTTTCTGATGATGGCCATTCTGACCAGTGTAAGGTGATACCTCATTGTAGTTTTATGTTTTGGCTGCCGCTGTGCAGCTTGTGGGATCTTAGTTCCCCGGCCAGGGATTGAACCCAGGCCCTCTTCAGTGAAAGTGCCGAGTGCTAACCACCAGACCGCCAGAGAATTCCCATGTATCCTGCAACTTTACTGAATTCATTGATGAGCTCTAGTAATTTTCTGGTGACATCTTTAGGATTCTCTATGTATAGTGTCATGTCATCTGCAAACAGTGACAGTTTTACTTCTTTTCCAATTTGGATTCCTTTTCTTTCTTTTTCTTCTTTGATTGCATGGCTAGGACTTCTAAAACTATGTTGAATAAAAGTGGTGAGAGTGGATATCCTTGTCTTGTTCCTGATCTTAGAGGAAATGCTTTCAGCTTTACACCATTGAGAATGATGTTAGCTGTGGGCTTGAATAGGTTTTAATAATGATAAAAGAGCGAGCGTACATTGGACTTTTACCCCGACCCAGGCACAGTCGAAGCTCTATTTGTGCCATGTCTTACTCTCCACAACAGCCTAGGTACTGCATTATGTTAACTGGGGCTCCCACAGACTTTGGGATCAAGTTCCAAGTTGATCCCAAACTTTTTTACAAAAAAAGAGGCTTTTGTGACCTTGCGCCAGCCTCCCCAGACAGCCTTTTTTCTAGCTTCACTGCCTTCCCTGGAACACCAGCCCCTGCACCCCATTCCCACGTCTTCGCCTGGGCCCCTTGCTCTAGATAAGCCCCCCCTAAACTGAGTGCCCGGCACACGTGCAGCTCTGGCCACATAGATGAGCTGCACTGTGTAGCTGTTGATGTATCTGTTTCCACACAGGAAGTAGGTTTCTGGTGAAGCTGGACTGGATGTTCTGTTTCCTTGTATATCTCTGCTGCCTGGCATAATAGGTGGCAAAAAGTGAATGAGAAGACAGACTTGTCTGTATGAATTCTATAATTTGTATGAATTTGTAATTGAAATCAATGTTTCAGCTTACACCAGGGCTTGTTTCAAGATTGAAAATGAGCCCTAAGCAAACTGCTCTCGTACATGTGCTCTGGGTGCCCCCCGCCCCGTCTCCCAGCAATATCCATATATCCACGTTTAAATATTCTTTACATAAATAATTGCCACAGAATCCTCGGCCTCCATTCTCTGGGTTCCCAGAATTTTTAAAACATCTGTGATGGGAATAGATGATATCTGGTCTACTTAAAATAGATGATATCCGGTCTACTTAAAATAAGTTAACCCTGTTTGGTTGTTGTCTTCTTGACTCAAGGGAAATTGTTTCCAGAGTCTAACTTAACCAACACTATGTGAAATAACTTCAGCTCCAGGAAGTTTCCTTTCTTCTCTAGAAAACACTCCTTTTACTGAATGGTCACTGTGGTGTTTTAAAAAAAAAAAAAATGTTGGCCAATAACATAAAGTTCTTCTAAACAGTCTAATATGCTTCAATGATATGGGTATATATACTCTAAAACTATGCATTGGAGTCAGCTCAAAGGTTTAAAAAGGTTAAACATGCACTCCCCAAGTTTAGAAGTGTGCCAGCCTGTGAAAGCTGCAAAGAAAGGGGAGACCATAACATCTGAGGACTTCCTCTGTGTGGCTAACTCACCCCACCCGACTCGGGCCCTTCACAGAGCCCACCTCCGGCTTCACGTGTGGGTGCCCCCCGCCTACCCCAGGTCTGGGTGTGGCTGCTTCCATACTGTCCCTTCGGCCTCAGCTGAGGTCTCCTCCTCCCTCTAGGTGCCTTCCTTGACCACCTTAAGAAAAGTAGCCACTCTGCCCCACCACTCTCTCTTCACCATCTGAAAACCCATTATTTATTACTGGGTGTACCTTTGTCGCTGGATCCCGTGTTCAGCTGTGAGTGGCAGGAGAGGGGGTGCTGATGGGGCCCAGCGCCCCGCACAGGGCGTGGAGGGGCACTCCACGGCTGGGGAAGGAAGGAAGGACCCCGCCTCTCAGCCCTGTGTGCTCATGTCTGTTTCTCATCTAGCTGCTTCCACAAAGCCAACTTGTAGCTTCAGGACCACCGTTTCCCCCTCTCAGCCTCCCTCCTTGTGAGTAGCTGTCAAATCAGCCAGCAGAGTGTCACGATCAGCCCCAAAATTGGGATCTTTTCTCTTTGTAAAAAATCACCGATTTTATTCAGGTACGAATGCTAGAGCTACCATTTGCATGTCATGTTATTCTCAGAGAGCGAGCGGTTCTTGGATATGAAGGTGTTGACAGAGCTTCCACGAGGCTAAAGTTCTACTTCTGTGTTTCAGATTAATCAGAAGAAGGAATATAAAGTTGACCTGGTGTTTACCACGGAGCTGTACAACCCAGAGGTAAGCTGCCATGGTTTGTGAAGTGTCCTATTAACAACTTGTATTAATTTTTTTTTTTTAAGTGAGAATCTTAATATGTAGTGACCTGGAGGTTTGCCTTTTTTTTTTCTTTCCTGCTTTGTTTTCTATTTGTTCTCAAGAATTGAAGACAGCGCTAGGCAGGACCACTTCATGGTCTCACACAGGGTTCCTGTTACCGCGTCCACACAGCCGTCGTCCCCTCCTTCCTCAGCCGCCGGGAGGGCGTTTCACACCCCCTTTGGACCCGGTGCCCCTCCTTAGCACCTCCGAATCCCCAGAATGACTCACTCTCAAATGCCAACCTGTTCGCCTCCTGTCAGCTGGTGGCATTTCTCGTTAGCGGGCCGGCATAGCACGAGGCTGCCTCCAGGAGCTTCCGTGCACAGAGAGAGGCATTCCGCAACTCAGAGCAGCCCACGTGCGCCGCAGGCATCTTCAGCCTCTCCTTCTGACCCAGCGGGCCACGGTCGCCAAGTTTCCTTTCCCCACCACCTCCCCCTTCTCAAGAAGAGAGGAAACAGAGGACTCATACAGAAATTAGAGCCAGATGGATTTCCCGGGGCTGGGCCAGGCTGGGAGGCAGCACCCGGAACCGGGGTGGAGGGACCAGCCCAAACCCTTTGTGTGGCGCGGAGTCAGAGCGGGGGATGAGCAGGCAGCATGGGCATTACGGTGTCTCAGGAAGGCGGAGCTTCGGAGAAGGCATAACCCCTCCGGCTGATGCTTCTGGAAGAAAGCTTACCAGTATTCACAAACAAGTTCTGACAAGAAAACACTATGCCAACTTTGCTAATTAACCTAAGAATTAACGTTTTCTTAAAGCATAAGGAAGGTGCTTTTGGTTTCTGTGTTGCAAACGGAAGTGTTAAAGCTAAAAGGAAAACAATTACTAGATTACTTTGACCAACTGTGCTTCTCTGAAGGGCTAGCTAATTGAAATGCTTCCTTTCGGGAGGTAGGGAGAGTCCTTTCATCTCCTAGCAACTGTTTTGATTCTGTGGAGCTGTTTGGGGGGAAAGGGAAAGAAAAACAAAAGGGGGCAATACCTATTGCTTTTTCTCTTCCCTGGAAACGGTTTTGACATCAAAAGAATCCACATACCAGCCCCGTCTTCTGCCTTTCATAAGCCTCTTCCCCATCACTCCCTTCACCGCTTTCCTGTATTGCACCGGTAATTAGAATTTTAATGTACCACTTAAATTTGCTCTCCTGTAAACCAGCACTACGGGAGAAGACGTTGCCCACTGGAACGCCTATTTCAGTTTTTTGCATTAGTTCAAGGAGGGGGCTTATTTAGCAGATCCAATTTTAAGTATGGTTTGTTTCATTGTGGGCTTTTTCTTTTTGGTTGTTTTAACTGAGGCTCCACTCAGTTTAAGTGACTGTAAACGTGAAAAGAACTCAGTTGCTCAACCAACCATGTTGTAACAGGAGTTCTTAACTAGCGGCCCATGGATGGGTTTTGAGTGCCGCCATGAACTTCCTCAGATTCTAGGCCCAGTGGACGGTATGAGTGAATGTGCATTTTTCTGGGAAGCGGTTCCCTGGCTTTTATTGTCGGGTTAAGGAATCAGTGACCTAAAAGAGTGGAGAAGCACCCTCCCAGAAATGAGTTGTACCCTTGATGTCTACTTAAAGCATCCAGCTACCCAGCTCCATGTGTCTCTGGATTGGAAAGTGAGTGAGGGAGATCCCACAACACTCAGTGTGTCTACCTTTAAAAATGAGTGCAAGCAGACTTCCCTCTGTCACTCAGGTAGTTGAATCAGTCCCATTTGGGTGATCTGTCCCTCCACTTCTTCTAGATTAGACCTTGGAGTAGAGAGATGGCGTTCTCACAGAGCTGGGGCCCTGGCATCACACAGACACAGCTCAGGTCCTGGCTTACCACTTACTAGCTGTGAGACATGGAGTAGGTTCCTCTTTAAACTTCAGTCTTAAACTGTAAAATTGGAATAAGAGGACTGAATTCATCAGGCAGCATGAAGACACAACGCCATTTGTGTTGATGGGAATCGGCTTCCTTTTGGTTCAAGTTGGCCAGCTTGAGGGCCAAGTAAGCATTATGTTGGTTGGTCCACGGTAGAGAGGAAAATACCTCCACTCTAGCTAGAGGTTTGAGCCGAGTAGCACTCACAGATGTCAGTGGTATTTCTTTGGCAGAGGCCCAGCATTCTTTCATAAGGGCACCATCAGAAAGCAGAAGTTTTTTTAAATGACAGCAAAGACTGAAGATTGTTGTGTTTGGCTGTGAGCACAAAAATCATTTTCTACAAAGCAAAGAATACTACATATGGATGCCAGTGCATACCTGCCATGTACAAGGAACTCCCCAATCTTGTGTGTGTTTTTCATTGGAGTGAGTGGGGAGTGATAAGAAACGATTCTAATTCCAAAATCTTTATTTCAGAAAGGTAAGGAACGTCTGGGGAAATGTTCTGCTCGAGTGTTTTTCAGGAACGAGAAACCCAGACCAGCCACTAATATAACGTGTACTCGGCTCATTGAGAAGAAGGCAAGACAAGAAGAAGATTATCTGCTCTACAAGTACATGAAGCAACTTAAAAACCTCTTGGATGTTGTCAGCATACCTGGTATGAACCAATATCTGGAATTTCTATATTCAGGAATGCATGTCATTACTACATCTTAACAAGAATTATCATGGAAGCAACCTAAATGTCCATCGACACATGAATAGATAAAGATGTGGCACATATATACAATGGAATATTACTCAGCCATAAAAAGAAACGAAATTGAGTTATTTGTAGTGAGGTGGATGGACCTAGAGTCTGTCATACAGAGTGAAGTAAGTCAGAAAGAGAAAAATAAATATTGTATGCTAACACATATATATGGAATCTAAAAAAAAAAAATGGTTATGAAGAACCTAAGGGCAGGACAGGAATAAAGACACAGACCTACTAGAGAATGGACTTGAGGACACGGGGAGGGGGAAGGGTAAGCTGGGACGAAGTGAGAGAGTGGCATGGACATATATACACTACCAAACGTAAAATAGATAGCTAGTGGGAAGCAGCCGCATAGCACAGGGAGATCAGCTCGGTGCTTTGTGACCACCTAGAGGGGTGGGATAGGGAGGGTGGGAGGGAGACTCAAGAGGGAGGGGATATGGGGATATATGTATGCATATGGCTGATTCACTTTGTTGTACAACAGAAACTAACACAGTATTGTGAAGCAGTTATACTCCAATAAAGATCTATTTAAAAAAAATGATCATCTAAAAATGTATCCCCCAAATGGCAATTTAATTCACCTACAGAATGTGGTACACCTGATTATCTGAACAAAATTCAGAAGTATCCTTTTCCTGTTTTCCCCCTCAAGTACAATATAGTGACTCCATTGAAAACTATCTGTGCCCCTTTAATCTGCCCACTTCTCGTCCCAGACCCAGGGCAGGGCAAGAGCCAGACTCCAGGGAGAAGAGGTGGAGGTCTTTGCAACAGGACCCACACGTAGGGGTGCAGTTTTCAGGGTTGAGTCCAGAAGCTGAGGAGAAACATTCTAGAGGTTTCTGGTGGTGGCTATGGAAACTTTAGGTGATGGGACCCCATCCAGGGCCTCTGTTGTGTGCATCATGGCCTTCTGCACCAGGGCTGGGTGAGCTGTCTCGGGGCTTTGCTGGGAGGCTGCAGTGGAGTCAAGCTGATCTCATTTTAGATCCAGAGCTAATGGGCAGTGGTGCCGTCTCTTATAAGAAATGAGCCCCACCTCTGAAGTGACTCAGCTGAAGTGAAGCAGAGCCCATTTGCGCTGGCACTCAGCAGGGTATGTGGACAGCAGCTGACACTCGGCGCGTAACGGCAAATCCAATCTCCAAAACCACAGAAGTCATCTCTGGACTTGCACTGGGGTATTAAGCTTGACATCTGACCACCACAGCGCTCCCTGTCCCACTGTCTCTCTCTCAGCTCACTCATTTGCCCGGAGACTGTGACAGACCCACGTCCGCGTGGAGGACCTGTGGTCTCCATTTCTGGCTGCATCTGTGTCCCATCCATTACTGAGACTAAAAACCCGGAGATGGGATATACTGCACCTTGCGTTTCTCAAATTCAGAAGCGTGGCTCATTCGCATTATAGTTCTCTGACAACTTGGATTAAATCCTGTTCCAAAGAATTATGAAGAAAATTCAGAATCTTACATTGTAGTAGCATTTATTTATATTTAACTGCCTGAAATAAATGGGCCAATGACTAATACTTAAAATCTACGGTTATTTAGGGATTGGTCCCCTCATTAGCATTAGTTGGGGAAATAGGGTTTTATATATTCTTCTTAAAACACAAATTTTAGAAATCGTATTGGACCCTTTCTTTGAAAGGGTCTCAGTCCTTTTGCCACAGGATCTCTAGATTTTGGACAATTTTTAATAATGCAGGTTAACTGGATCATGTTCAGTTAAGTCCTATATGCCCACAAGGATTATTCTATAACAGTCTAACTTAATGTGGCTGCTATGAAGCTTTGAAAAAGTTTTTGCTTAGTATAGGGCACGTTTTAATCAACAAAATCTACAAGTTCTCTTGGCACTTTAAATTCAGCAGAGATGTTTAATGGTGCTTATAGCCTGTATATCTAAAATTATCTACTTAAACTGAAAAGGTTTGGTTTTAGATAAGTTGAATCAAAACCTATGTTGGAGCAGCCAGTTCAGATCTCAGCAGATCCCATTCAGTATTTAATCAATCCAGGGTATTTGACTGTTGAGCAGTTTTCTCTACAACTGCTAAGTGAGAAGATCTAATCCATTTTAGGATATCCTTGCTCTGCACTGTTTTTCCCCTAAAAAAATTAGTTGTCTGGTTTTTATGAAGAGTAAAAATTTCTCCTCTTCTAATGAATTCATAAACTTCCTATAGATGAGCCCAAGTATATGACATACAAAAGAAAAGACTGGGGATCTGGGAATAACCAAAGTCCTAAGTGACTCTGTAGCAGTGCTACTGGCATTTATAACTTTCAGTTGTCCTCATTATTCACAGTATTTTGTATAACTAATTTTTCTTCTATGGTAATTCGTTTTGATCTCACAAGTTAAACTCCTAGTGGCAGTGTAAGACGAAGGAAGTCTGTCACCCTCTCGCTTCCACACGCAAGACAGGAATTCAAGGCTCAGCTCAAATCTCTTTTCTGTGAAGCTGTCCCCAGCCTCTTCAGCCCAAAGGAACCTCCCCCTTCCCTGTGTCCCCTCAGCTCTCTGATCCTCCCTTTTCTTAAGGAAGGTGTTAGCTGCATTTCCACACTGTCAAGTGGAGGGTAGGGCCTCTCTTTGCATCTCTCACAGCACCAAGCAATCAATGAAAGCCTTTTGAATTGACTACCACTATAAACCAGCCAAGTCTAGTTCTACCAATACAGAGCAGAATTTATGCGAAAGATTATTTTACTAAGAAGGATTCATTTCCTAATAAGCTGTTCGTACTCCTCACATCTTATACTATTATTGGGCTTTAATATACACTATCTCTTTCAAACTGCATAAATGATGGTCCATGAATAGCTCATAAATTACTTGCTAAAATTTGAGTCCCTAAACGTCATAAGAGGTAATGTATTAGTCATTGTATCCCTACCTAGTATCTGATATTAAGTAGACTTTTTATAAATGTTTGCTGAATTAAAAAGATTGCAGTTCCAAAAACAATGCCACAGGAAATACCCACTTGATTTCTTCGTGTGGTCAAAAGTGGCAGATGCTGCCAATACACAGATTAGCTTTAACGCCAAGGATCAGAGAAGGACAAAGACGTTTGCTAGATTGTCAAAGACCAGCACATTTTGACTGTAGACCCAAACCAGAAGGTAATGTGGAGAAGATAACTGATAGATGTTTCCATCTAATTAAAAGATTTTAGATTAAAGGTTTTAGATTAACTTTGAGTATCATGATAGCTCTTAGTTTGCATTTATATTGTACAGCAAATAGTCCTTAAACTCTTTTATAGTAGCTTTACTTAGCAGGGCAAGGTGAAGCATGTAAGATTCCATACAATGCAGAAAGAGATACGAGTAACACTTCACTACTGAAACTTGTAATATTTTGTCCTGAGAACGTCTTAATATGAATGTACTTTTTTTTTGTGCCCTCAGATAGTCATGGACATATTGATCCCTCTCTGAGACCCATCTGGGATTTAGCTTTTCTGGGCAGCTCTTACGTGATGTGGGAAAAGACAACACAGTTTTTACACTACTACATGGCACAGCTCAGCAGTGTGAATCAGTGGGTAAGAAAAACTGACAATTAACTTGTACCACAAGAGATACAACCAATGCAATGTTCTTAGACTAAATTAATGTGAACTTCTAGTTCTGTGGCAAGAGTTTTAATTGCATTTCATTAACTCAATAAATATCTGAATGCCAGGTATGGTTGTGGGGACTGAGGATATAGCACTAAACAAAAAACTCAGTGTAGCTGCCCTTACTGAGACTAATTCTAGCGAGAGAAGAAAGACAGTGAAGCGATAAACAAATATGTGGTAGGTGCTATGGAGAAAAATAAAGTAGGGAAAAGGGAATGCAGGGTATTGACAGAATTAAACTTTAGTCTAAAGCAAGGACCCTCTAATTTAAGCAGAGGTGACACTGGAGCAGAGGCCTAAGGGAAGTGAAGAGTGAGCCACGCCTCCAGAAGGGAAGGCATTTCAGACAGAGGGGACGGAGGCAGCATTGTGGCTGATGGGTTGGAGAAACAGCAGTGAGGCTGGTATGGCTGCAAGAGATTGAGCAAGGGGAGCGTGCCGGGAGATGAGATCAGATGGAGGGGGTCAGTTCATGGAAGGCCATTAGAAGGACCCTCTCTTTACTCACTACAGGGTTTTTAGCAGAGAAGTGACACGATCTGACTTACAACAGGATCATTCTGGCTGCTGTGTTGAGAACAGACCATAGACAAACAAGGGTAGAAGCAAGGAGAGCAGTAATGTACTGCAGTATCCTAGGCAAGGCCTGGTGGTAGCTCGGACCAGGGTGGCAGCAGTGGATGTGGTGAGAAGTGTTTGCATTTTGAAGGTAGACCAACAGTATTTGTTGATGGGTTAGATATGGATATATCCAAGAATGAGAAAAGTCAAGGATGATTCTTATGATTTTGGCCTGAGTAACTGGAAGGATAGAGTTTTCATTTACAGACTGGGGAAGACTACAGAGGAACAGATTTGGGTGGAAATTAGCTTGAGTTGGAGCATTCTAAATTCCATAACCAAGTAGAGAATTTGTATCGTCATCTGGACATAAGAGTCTGAAGTTCAGGGGAGATGTCTAGGCTGGAGTCATCACCACATAGATGGTTTTTAAAGCCTCAAGAGTGGATGAGATGAGAGAATTGAGTGTAAACAGAGAAAGGTTATGTAGGGATTGAGTCCTGGAACACTTTCAACTTTAGAGGGTTTAGATATGAGAAAAAAAAAGTGTTTCAAGGATGAGAATTGACTATCAAATGCTGCTGGAAAGTCAAGAAAGATGAGGACTGAGAATTGCCATTAGATTTAGGCAAGCTGGAAGTAGATGGAGAGCTTATCAAGAGCTGTCTCACTGGCACAGTGTGGGCAAAGTCCTGATTAGAATAGGTTCAGGAAAGAATGGGAGAGGAAGTGGACACTCCATGTCTTTCAAGGAATTTAGCTGTAAAGGGGAGTAAAAGGGAGGGAGGGGCTAGAGCTGGAGGATGCGTAAGCACAGGGTTGAAGGAGGGTTTTCCGTTGTATTTTTCCATTGGGCAATTTAACGGCATATTTATATGTTGATGAGAAAAATCCAGTAGAGAGGGGCAAAGTAGGACTTGTAGGGAAGAGAAGGAAGACTTGTTGGAGTTAACATCTTTGAGGAGATAAAGAGAGGATATGATCGATCCAGGGGATGACTGTGGACAAGGGCACAGAGTTCACCTGGAGGAAGGCTTTCAAGTGTGGCACAGATGCTGGTAGGAGGGTGGGTATCACGTGGCGGCCTGTGGAAGTTCTATCCTGACTGCTTCTGTCTTCTCAGTGAAAAATGAGGCAAAGTCACCAGCTGAGCGTGAGGACGGAACAGGAGGTGAGAGGGGGTGGGAGCGCGTGGATTCGAGCATCACGCAGCACTGCAGGCCTCCAAAGGTCTGCGGTCACGAATTTAGAGAAGGGCCAGTCACTCAACTGGTTGGGTGCGGACAAGGAGGTGGCTGAGTGGGGGTTTTGTCAGGCACATGAGGGGGGCGGCATTTCCAGAGTAAACAGTATCAACTACTCAGAGGCAGGCTGAGCCAACCGTAAGTACAAATTTCTAAAAATCGTTTTCTTCACGGGTGGCTGAAGCAGTACATTCACCATGGATGGAGAGCAGTGAGTATCTTTCGAGTACAAGGAGCTGCCTGGCGTCCAGTCAGCATTATTCATGCCGGTAATAGCTTGGTGTACTTTTCAGAGGCCACTTGTAAAGCAGACAGCTGTTTGAAATGTAGTTTCATTCCTTATCGAAATGAACGTTTCTTTCCCCTATGGAGTGGCTTTGATAGAAATGGCTGTGTAATTGACTGCTGTTACACCAGGAGTTAGGGCACAGCACAGATTCTTTGGCTGCAGGTAAAAAGTTTCTTTTGTCTACCAAGACAATCATGTCCTCAACAGAAGGCTTTTCCTTTAACTGAGAAGTCGGGAAATTTTTTGTTTAGTGTAGAAAATGGCATCAAGATAATAGAACTAATTTTAATGAATGTCAGAGGAAAACTCAATAGGAATAGAGCAACAGGGACACGAGAAAAAATTAGGATCTTTTAATGGCATTGTTTTCCATTCTTCTGCATGTATAAATGACACGTCACCTAAGTAAACACCAGGACGTACTATGGTTTGAAAACAGCAGCCCCGTTTCTCGCTCATCCTAGCCAGTCTTTCTTTGATGTCCATCATCTGTCCATTAATATCCCTGCAAGTGGGAAAGTGGGGACAAATGTAATTGTAGAGCTAAGAAAACAAAAATGCAGGGGGAACAGGACTTTTAGATTTTTTCACCCTGTGGTGTCTGTGTTTTAGATAAATAGTAATTGAAGATGCAGCTGACTTGGTTGGGTCACCTAAGGCAAATCACTTCTTCTCTTAGGGCTATGAAATGAGGGTCAACAAGCTTATTGAATGAAGCCCTCGAAACTAACATAAAGCTAAAATACTGAAGCAATTGGGAAATTTGGATTAAGGTTGATATGCATTTCAGATTACAGTTTTTTTTTTTAAAGCCTACAGCATCCAGTATTCCCAGGCGGCCTCCCATCCAAGTTACTAACCAGGACCAACCCTGCTTAGCTTCCAAGATTAGAGTGCTCTTAAATAAAAGCATGCACATAATCACATAGATTTTCAAATTCTGCTATTTGGTGGCTACTAAAGATTCTTGTACTCTTTCAGAAAAATAAGCCACATAACAACAAGCAAAACAAGCAACAATTTCTAAAAGTCACTACGATCAGAAAGTCTAGGGACTGTCCCTGGACACTAGAAGCAGGACAGTAGGGCTGACAAAGCAAAGACAGAGAAGCAGGGAGTGACTGGAGGTGCCCGTGGCCCAGGGTAGTTCAGGAATCTATAGGGATTATAGTTTTTTCCAAAAGCTTACTGGGTGGGAATTACTATCTCTCCACTCAGGGATAAACTCGCCTTTTAATCCGATTGTGTAAGGCAGTGCAGCCTTATAAACTTCATAGCCCCAAATGAACACAGCCTGAGAGAAGAGTGGGCTAAGAAATAGCTAAAATACAAATATAAGACCCATCTTACTGGCAGTTATTGCCTTAGGACTGAAGAACAGATGTCATTCCCAAACCATGAGGACTAAGCCGAGGGCAGGGGAGATATCTGATGGCTAGAAAACAAAACGGATAAGGACTTTCCTGACACCCTTTTAGCCCTTCTTTAATGTGAACTGAGAAAAGCAAAACTGTTTTACTTTTCCAGCATTGTTCCAAATCTTATCAGTACCAGATACTGTCAGCATCCCAAACTATCTAACCAGCAGCACATCACTGGCAGCCAGCCCAAGTCTTCACCCTAACTAGAGGCCTCCATCAGCCGACAGTACATTACAGAAACCATCGTATCTACCTTATTCTGCTAAGAA